TTGGGTCCAAATGAAACCGTTACAGCTGATCGCTACAAACAGCAATTATACCGATTGAGTGACGAATTGATGCTAAAAAGGTCATCCGTAGCCAACAATTGACGCAAAGTTATTTTGTTGCATGATAACGCTCAACCGCATGTCGCAAAAAGCGTGAAGCAGACACTTTGAGAGCTTGAATGGGAAGTTCTGCCGCACCCAGCGTACTCTCCAGACTTGGCACCGTCGGATTGCCATCTCTTCCAATTTATGCAACACGCACTTACGGACACGCACTTCTCCAGTTACAACAAAGTCCAAAAATGGGTGGATGAATGGATCGCCTCGAAAGACACCGCGTTTTACCGTCGTGAGATTGCCCTGTTGCCAGAGAGATGGAAAAAAGTAGTAGAAAATGGAGGAAATTACTTTGAATAAGGTATTCATTCATCTTCCCTTCGAAATAAATCGATTTTCGAGACGAAAAAACGATAGAAATTAAGTTTAACACCTAATATGTACTTGCATATATACCATATATTGTAGTCTTTTTTTCACAAACTGCGCGCCGAATTGTTTTTCCGGACTAAATAAACGCAATTAAAACTACTCTAGTAATCGCGAATTAAACTGACAAGCAATTTAATAATTTAATGCTACTATCAAGGATCATATATTATAAAGATGTTAGTATATTAAAACTGTTAATAAATTTATTGCGAAAAATATTACCTCGGCCGGGACTTGAACCCGGATCTCTTGCATACCGTGCGAGCGTCCTAAGCCTTTAGTCTAAAGAGATCCGGGTTCAAGTCTCGGCCGAGGTAATATTTTTCGCAATAAATTTATTAACATTTTTAATATACTAACATCTTTATAATATATGATGCTTGATAGTAGCATCAAATTATTAAATTGTTTGACAGTTTAATTTGCGATTACTAGAGTAGTTTTAATTGCGTTTATTTAGTCCGGAAAAACAATTCGGCGCGTAATTTGTGAAAAAAAGACTACAATATGGTATAAATGCAAGTACATATATAGTATATATAATATTAGTAATTCAAGATTGAATTATTTTAAAAAGCAACGAAGATCCAGCTTTGACCGTAATAGACATTTAAATTTCTAGTATTGATTGTGTTTCTCACATATACGGTCTAAAAATAAAAATATTGTATTTTATATATCAGAAGCACCCTAATATATTATAAATTGTAAAGCTTCAGCTAACTGTGAATATAGTTAAATGGAACACGTAAATGTATTACACAGTATTATAAAAAAGCCACAAAAATATTAATATTGTGAATATATTGCTTCTGTTTTTTTGTTTATGTATATTTTTTAATATTTTTTAAACAATGAATAAGTTTTTTAATCAGTAAATCTTATTACTTATTAAAAAAAATAAATTTTCTTTAAAGTTTTATTCTGTCTCCTGTTATCGATGAATAATAAAATAGAAACAATAAATGGGATAATCTTCAAAGGTTAATTTTACCCCTTTAGAGCTGTGGTCTGATTAACGCTCACAACGCTTAAAAATCATTATATCCTTGTTTGTCAAATGTTAAACGAAGACAAATGATGCTCATGAGCGTTGTCAGCATGAATCGGATCATGGCCTTGGATAAATTCGAACAACAAAAAAATTATTTATTACATGTAGGATAATGTCTAAATCTTCTATGTATTGCCAAAGTTTCATAATTTTTTGAATTTTCATGTTGAAGGCCTTTTCTTGTGAGTCTAAAGTGAGTATTTTATACTCGGATGATATGTCACTACTCGCGTACTTTAGTATCAAAAAAAGTTATCATGTAACAAGTTTATAATCTCATTTTTAATTAGTGATAGAGTTCTAAAAATAAATGTACTCTGGTAGTGCTACAAACAAAATAAGGGAGAGAGGTATTGGTGAAGTGTTCAACATTTTGTTATAGAACATTACATTTATGTTTGCACATTTGAACAAATTCTTATAATTCCTTATTCTAATTATAATATAAGCTGTATTTTATCAAATCTGTACCTACACTTTAGAGACAATTATGATATACGTATACTGACATTAAACAAAATATTGCAAACATTTTATTTCTTTAATTCTTACAACTTACAATGTAATATTTTTTTTATCTTTTTGGTGTCTTTTTGATAGCTTTAAAGGGAAACAAGTTTGGACACTTTGATTAGCTACATGGCTATCACCATGTTGTCAGGTTGAAATTCGGGTTTCACTAAATATTTAAATGTTTCCTTTCCTTCTTACCATCCTGTTACATAAACATTAATTTTAAATATTAATTGTAGAAAATATTCTGGCGCTGCCAAGTTCTGAAAAAAGTACCTTGGCACTGCCAGGATCTAATTACACCATTGTTTTAAATGTGAGTTAATAAGATTTAGTAAAGTATAACACGCGCGTGGTCTCGAATTTATGCAACTTGTAGGTAAAAACTTAATTAAATCTCACTCGTCAGAGTGAAAAAGAATATGCATTCAACTGAGTTATGACAAATGAGAATTGTCTGAGTTTTAATATAAATGGAAAGCAACTATTATGTTAAACTTGTTAATTGAGTAAGAGAAGTCTTATTTTCGGTCAAAACAGATCTTAGCATTTAAATATTTTTTTGGTGTGAATTTATACACATGTTTAATTCTGCAAACTTTGCGGCGAAATCTTTTTCATCATTGCGTTCGAAAACTCAAAATGATTTCTATGTATGATTGCAGAATTGAATATGTATATTTTATGGGCTAGTATTAAAAAATCTCCAACGTTGAGTAGTCGAACTTGTTACTATCTGTACATATAAAACATATTGTTTGCGAAATTTTTTTATTTTTATGTTCCTGTATGCAATAAATATTTGTTTTGTAAAATTGCGTTTTTTTTAAGTAGTAAAAATTAAAAATAGAAGTTCTTTCAAAGATACTTATCATAGTTATCTATAAAGATATTCTAGAGTGATCTGAAGAAATAATATTTTATCTTCTTACTATTAGATAAACAAAGTAAATTTGGAAAAATCTCGGGTAATCTCATGGAAAATATGACGTAATTTTAAATACTGTATGGTAATCTTGGATGATATGAGGCAGTATATATATATGGGGCATTCTTTCTCAAATCAGCCACCCGCCTGCG